GAGCGTTTGTGTTCCTTGCACGTGATTCACGTATTTAAGGCATGAATATAGTAATAAAAATGTATGTTGTTTCCATATTTAAGTCATAACATGTTCCTTATATTGCGTTATAAACAGCTCCTACATGAAATAAATAGTTTATAACTGTTACTACTGAGTCATTCACGATAAATCCAGATAGGACATTAGTTATACTAAAATTTATTCTACCATTTTATGCATTTAAAATTTAACTTACAGCTTTATGCCTCCAGATAATCAAAAATATTTAAAAAAAGCAAAAAAAAATAAATAAATAAATAAACCTTGAGTAAAAGATTTTTTGGAATAGTAAAACGATTGAAGATTCAAGAAATAATTTACATGTTATGTGCGATAGATGATTTACTGATTTTACAGTATCTATTACTATAATGTATTACTACATGATCTACAGTATTATCTATAAGGTCTATTTTTTTAACATTTTGACCTTTTTTGGTAATTTTCGTAGATTATAAGTGTTGTTAAGAAATTGAAAATTACTTCCTTTGTTCATTTAAGATATTGTATTTGTTAATACATTTCAAAATATTTCATAAAAATTAGCTAAGATTAAATAAGATGTACGTCAAGGCAACAGCTAGCCATCATTTAAAACTTACACGCACTCAGCTTTAAAAATATATATTATATATCAGAGTACAGAATTAACTCTCTTCATTTTATGGATATTGTTTCTATTAGGTAAATGATAGTTTACACCATATCCCGTCAAACCACATATAACGCATAAGCTCACAGAACACATCTACTGTTCAAACACTTCTACCTATTAGCCCATATTTATCCCATCCCGCCCAACCACTGTTACCCATAATCGCATATTACATCATATCTCGACCAATAACTAATCTTACTCATAAGTCCACATAACACCCTATCGAGCCCAACCACCTTTACTAATAAGCACATATAGCACCCCTATATCCCGCTCTGTTTCTTCCAACCATAAACCCACACTACGCCGTATCCTGCTTATAAGCCCTCTTACCATGATCATTCCACTCTAGGTAAGCTGTTTTATTTAGTCACGACTTTGAATATCTAAAGACGTAAATATAGCCCTAACAAGCTGTCCGAATATTTATTTCTTAAAGTAACCAATCACCGTCATCATATCAAAATTTAATTTGCTAAGAAGGCATGTTTTTTACCCGTTAAGTACAAATGAACCGCGTCACGACAAAACCAACAGCTGTTCGCTTACAAACCCTATAACGAATAGAGACACTGATAGCGAACAGTATGGATCCTTATCAGACTGCGCGGATGCACAGGCTGGTCTAGATCCATGCTGGTCGCAAACCCATTATGTTGGTTTTGTCATGACGCGGCTCAAATATGGTCTCACTTCTTATGTTTGCGACACGGACTGTATTTCGTAAAGGACCAGAAAGTACAGCTGTCCTGTATCATTGTATTAAATCTCAGTCGAGACGTCAGACAAGTATCATGCTTAAAGTTAACTTCTGTTAATTCAGCCCTTTTTAATCTTGACCTTGGGTTGCCACTTCACAACCTGAAAACATTTCCTTATTCAGATTAAACACTGGAGATAGAAGCGTGCTAACTTAACACTGGAGATATAGACGCTTGTTAAACTTAATATTTATTGCTATCCCGACAATCATATCTACCTAAACATTTAACAGTCCAATGCCGATTAAACGTACAGACAGGAATGTGTCTGCTTTTAAAATAAAAATGCGATGTTTAATTTCATAGATGACACAGACAGTTCCGAGTATAAATGGGGATGTAATACTTGATTATATGTTCGACCGCTCACTAGTCAAAGGTACAATATACTTAAAACGTCTTTTATCACTGAGTTAAAAGCGGATTGCTTTATGTAATCAAGTATGTGGAATGTCGGTTGATTACAGAGGCACATGGACAGGTCGCTTTAACTAGGGTATATAAACCGAATTTACCCAAATGCTACGTGAAGCAACGAGGTATAGGGATCTGACTGAAAAATGACAGCTGTTTTCTAAACTGTCCTCAGTAATGACTTATTGCAAACAGCATATCCTGCTACCTCTATTAGATTTATGTCTCTGTGTATGTATGTTTTATATACATTTAAATGTAAATCATGTCTAGATGAGACTATAATAAATAATATATAAATCATGATAGTCATTGCATCATAATATTAAGTTTTCAAAACAATCATTGTTTTAATTTCTAAAATAAAACTCGTTCCTTTTTCAAATTCTTAACGCTCAAACACGAATAATCAATGAATAATATATTTACGCCAACCTATCCAAAACTTTCATCTTAGTTGTACGACTAAGTGTGGCTGCATTCAATTTGAAGTTATAAATGACTTTGCCTCATGAGAGAATAACATATATCAAGTGTGTTCCTTAAAACAGATAGTCATAACTATTGTCAAGTAGTTAAGTTTCGTATGAAATATAAGTATGAAATAAGTATGAAATATCCAGTATTGCTAACTAAAACTTCATACACTTGACCGATTCTTCGTTAAAGGATAAAAATGTAAAAGAAAAGAAAGACACTCAAATTATGTATAACCTATGGACGATGAAGTCATACATCTACAATAAGTGGATATCAATGTTTAACATATCATATCTTTTTTATTCTCAATTGTCGCATTATATTTCTTTTACTTAAAAATACCCACAGTCATAACAGTACAATATGTGCCCTGGGGTCGTCATCCTATCTAGCAAAGTTTACAATCAGGAAAATTTGCATTTTTTGTACAATATATCTTACAGATATACAAATCCATCCCTGTTTAGTAAAACCCAGGAATATAAGATTTCCTTGTAAATTAAACCGAAACTATCAAAGTAAGACATGAAACTTGTTGTTATATTTTTCTGATCCTTCGGGTTTATTGATGCCAGCACTAGCAAGTGTTGAAAATTGAGAACCGCTCAAGCCGGTGCTGGGTGGGGTGATGGATGTTGCACTTATTCCTTATTCCTCATGTACAGACTCGATCAAACCTAGTCTGCAATTTTCAAGTAATTTTGTTGTAATTAATGCTTCCGATGGATCACTTTGTTTCCAGATTATTTTTTTTTACAAAATATGAAACAAATTGAAAAAAACGTTCATTTGTCAAATCAAAATTAAATTGCACGCAGGTTATCATTTTAATATGCATAAAGATGATTCAATTGTCGCTTAAAATGCAAAGAGCATCGTGTACACAGAAAAAGATTAAACTAAGCACATAACATAAGAGAATGAATCGACAAATTAGACTGATTTGAAATGCAAAAACAATTACATGCCCAAACGATTATCTAAATAGCAGATTATACCTAAGCGAGAAAACTGTCTTGTATATTATAATGACATTACCATACTTTACAACGCTTAAACACGAGCAAGACAACATCAGCCACGGCGTTGTTAAAAATATATGATCAGTTATTGATCAAATGATTTTTTTTTAAATTTCGTTTTTGTCTTATTAAGTTATTATCACAATTGTTATTTATTATCATTATTTCTATGTTAGAATTATAAAATAATATGTTGTTAAGTAGTTATGTTTGAATTTTTGAATTCAACAAACGATAAACACTGAAAAAAATCATAACGTACGTTACCTAAAATAATGTATCGCGAGCAATTAAAAAAATATATATAAACTCGGTTTCACTGGGTCCGTTCACGAGAGCCAATAAAAGGTGCAACATCTCTAGCCCCGCAGTATGTTATTTTCAAACACCAATTATAGTAACGGAATCAATGGTATTGTAGGATTATACCACTGAGTACACATTTGAACTGACAATTTTAAGAAATTTAGAATATGTTTACTTGGATTATTAAGGAATCTAGATTATCAAATAAATCATCTTGAGTGTCTTAATTACTTTATACTAGATACGATATAAAATATATGATAAAACTACACCCTTTATTCAGGAATAATTATTGCAATATAAACTACTTTAATAAAATATATTTTTAAATAACTGTAATTCTGATAAGCTTCTGTATAAAGCTATAAAAACATTTCAACGATTGGTAAATCAACTGTAATTAATAAATTACAACGTTAGAAAAAGCGTATGTCTAAATTAAGAATCTATATCATCTTTTCTTGCATATCCTGTATAAACCTACTCACGTCATGAAATTATAATAACTATGCTGAAATTTACAACAAAGCACGTTAATAACCCTATAAAATTTGCATTAAAACACCACTTAAAATTAAAGAATCAAAATAACAAACGCGAAAACAATCAAATATTCTTACACAAAACTTGACATTGTGACAACCATTCTATGATACGACAGTTCTTCTTGTGTTCAATTGAATCGCTCAATCAATGGGTTTCCATAAGGCTTGATTACAGTTACTGTAATAATTTAATCGATCTATATTGCAAAACATTCAAACCAACCGCGATTTAAGAGTCTGGTTCATTATAAAATCATAAAAACACCATACTCCTAACATAAAGTTAAACACTTTATTCTCTTTAAATTCTTGATTTTTGTACACCCACGTTTACGAAAGTCTTGACATAAAACAATGCTAATCGTAATTTTGGATGTATTTATTATGCTTACCAAAAATTAATATCCTATTAAAGCGGGGAATGATTAAATCCCTTTGTCTTCAGAACTGAATTGTACTTTTAAAGACGCATTGATATTGCGTGGTTATCACAAGTACGTGCGCGTTGCTGTATCTCGAACTGTATTAACAGTTTACAATTGAAAATTCAAATCAATTAACATGAATCGCAGAAGATCCAACGAGAGCGAATATCTAAAAAAGTTCTCCAAGATCTTGTTCGAAAAATTTGGTTGCTTAAAATAGTAAAATCCATCAATTTGCCTAGGTTTCGTGCAAGGATTCTATAAACACAGTAAGAAGCTGTTAGCGGAGATGGGGTATGCCGTTTACTGCTTTTCTAGATACATAGACAGACGTAATGTAAACTTACCATCAAATTTCGGAAATTCATCTCCTAAAATATTATCATATCAACTCCAACAAGATAAAATGGTGTACTTAGAGATCTCCAACGATTTTTGTAGAATAAACATTTGAAAAAAACAAAATTCACAAAAATATTTTTCATAATTCCATAACTTTAGATTAATTTGCATTATGTGCAATCCATCACTTTTATATTGTTAAGATAAAATATAAAATGGAACTTATAACGCTTGATGATAGTTTTCTATGGATTCAGAGAACGCAGAATATGCCTTATATATAGATAGATATATTCCGCATCCATTTATCAATAATCCGTTAAAATGAATAAGCGCACGAGAATTATACTATGATAGCGTAATGGCACAATTTTACTGTTGGAAGGTGGTTTTTGCCACACGATGATAGTGGTTATTGTAGCGGAGCGATCTAATCATACACCAGTACTACACTATATACTTGTTGTATACCTGTCTACCAAGTTAAAAACTTTCCCTACCGTAATCTTTACAATCATTTCACATATCATAAGCTTTATAGACAACTGTATATCAAACAATATATACATACTACGAGAATGTAACTACTTTATATTATGTGCACGCCCACTTTGATACCTTTATCTAATAGTACACCGTATTTTGATATAACACCATCACTATAACAATTTGCAATAGGACTTATATTCCGATTGTTTAAATAACTCAAACAATCACAATTGGACTTATTGACACACTTAGGTACACAGACAGTTAAATATCAGGGCACTCTTAAATGGCTCTTTTATAAATTAAATGAAATGATAAATATATAATAGGAATGTCTTATATAGTAAAAGGCATTTATTGATATCCTTAAAAACTGCTTGCATCAAAGTTTCATCAGTCAGTAAGAAATACTATGAAATCGAAATGAATGTATGTAATGCCGAACACACAAAATCACTCGAAACTTAACTAATTCTCTGGTGGAAACTATGTGGTCAGCTTGCCGAAAAACTGGAACAATCAAGAATTATTATGGTCATGAAGTTTCTTATGAATAAAATATATGCAATCGTTATAAAGTGGAAATTCATTTTATCGTAGTCAATCATTTAAGAATCAGTTTTTGCCGATAAGGAAAGACAAATGAAAGTTAGTGAGTATCATGGAATATATTAGAAAGTACAAAATATGTACGCACCGACTTAAACCTGTTTTCAATCCTCAACACTGACAAAAAAGGAATCAATGATTCTTAAAAGACCAGAAAAAAGTCTATAAAAACTATTAATGATCAAGACTTAAACTAAGTCGTGTGGATATGGCAACTGTGTGAATTAAAATTTGGAAAAGGGAGAAAAGCAATGAAAACAATGTTAAAAAATGAACTTTACAGACTCGGTTTGATTAATGAAGTCTGTTCCAGAGAGGTATTAAAAGGTGCAACATCTCCTATGTCCCCCTTGCGACAACTGAAGTAGATAATATCTACCAAAGATTATCTAACCTTCGCAATAGAACTACCGTAAGTATTTTGAATATATCTTAAAATGGGAGATCCATCAAAAGCAATAAATATAAAATTTATACGTGAAAATCGCAGATTCATTTTGATTAAGTCTGTTCGTGAAAGAAATGAAACATCTCCAATGATGCTGAGAATCTCTGTAACAAAACTGCAACAAGAATGTGTTGATCTTATCAGTTTATGAAAGACTTTCGAGTCTGAAATGTTACGTTTATTGGAAGTTATACGGTATACCTGGGAAAAACAAGGCACGCGATGGAGCGCAGTCATTATTTTCGCAGAGGCAATTTGTATCATCAAAGAAAATTAACGGTACTATCATATTACTGCCTGGAACCGAAGACGAGAAGAAGCCGTTAAAGATACTGCTACCGTATCTTTATTACTATTTTATATGTTTTTAAATCGTACTTTATAGCATTTAATGCTTTCCCTATATCTAAATGGTGACCTTGTAATATCAGCATTTATTCTTTTTTTGTTGTTCATTTCCATGACCGAAATGTTTTATCTGTTTTTTTATTTCGAATATTATCGTAATCTAATTTCGTTCCCCAATATTGAAAACAGTAACAAAGTTTTATCACAGTTATGAACATGGTGGTTTGTGATATGACGATAGTCTATGTTTTTTCTTAGATAAAAATTGGCTACAATTATTTATAAATTCTAATTTGGATTTGGTGGATTTAAAATCACAATGTGTCGGCCGTTACTAACGAACGTGTATTGCTTGTATCAAAATAATTTATTATGAACACATGAGACAATTTGCCAGACTTTTATAAGAACTGAAAGCCGGTGCTAGGGTGCTTGGTCAGTAGCTTCAATCAAAGCGAGCCTGCAATTAATATTTTCAAATTTGCCGTCTTTGGTCTTTCTTAGAAGATATGACAGGTAAACGTCAGGGAAGCGAATTTAAATGATAGGCAGACCGGACTCGGAAAAAAGTTGATCGTAATTTATACAATGACTTAACACAAGAGCAAAATTCTACTGGAAATAGTCACTCTTTATTTTCATTTTTAAGTAGACAGTTATTTAGGTTATGTTCATTGAGTGCAAGTAATCAACTGGTATAAAGTAACAGAATAGAGATATCATTTTACGTCGGCTTTGCTTCAGTAACAGCTTATAAAATTTTATGACTAAAAACGTCGGAAAAATCCAATTCATTTGTGCATTAGTAGTCTCCAATTACAAGTCTGAACTTGATCATTCCTACGTGTAAAATGATATATGTAAATAGATAAGTTATATAAAGCCCTTACATACTTATATCACAGACAATTATGTAGAAGGTGGAAATATGCTAGTAATGATGTTTAGCAAATTACCATGAGAACGCTCTACCATTTTTAGCATGTCTGCATTATTTGGACATAATTAAAAATTATTGGTTGTACAAGAACGCCTAGAATATCTCCAAAATGATTGCAGTACTTTAGCATTTAGTGGGGACGTGGGGATGTTTGGATATCAATGATTATTTTTTTTTATTAACTTCTTGTATTTGGCCATATTTGACTTGTATAATATAATTTTGTCCTTGATACAATATTGTCTGTATTGAAAGTCTGTTTTTCTTAACAGTTTATATCATATTTTCTTTCGGTCATTTCTTTCGGTTATGATGTTATATTTCATTCACCCATTTCCAACTTAACCAGATACAATATTATAATTATTCTTTGAACGCACTGGCATAAAACCACTTTACATTATATTAAATGATAAAAATATATATATTTAACTATAAAGGTTAATTGGAACTTAAATGGACACTCAGCATTGTAAGTAAAATGGTTGCCCATTCGGCGAAATCATTGACGGTAGTGCTTTGAATACATGTTACATACCATCTACACAACCTATGCAATATCACACGCATAATTTAACTTTTAAACATATGCTGTGCCCTGTTGTGGCCGTTCTATTAAATTCCGTGCGTTTGAGCATTCAACACAACATTAGTGTTGTACCGGTGGAACATGTATTCTTTTAATTACGCAATTTCTCTATTGATAATAAATATTGTTCTGTTACCCGTAGGATATTAGCTTGCCTTATAAATGTGTTATGTGACATATGTCTGTGGCAGAGACATGCTAAATCATCTATGATAACATCTCAAATTTCACTATATTTAGTTATGTCGTTGCCTCATGGCATACCCGTTGTTCTCTACGAATATTTCTAACGTATTTATCTATACCATTAGATTTTTGCCAGGTTTGCTCAAAGCGGTGCTAGGGTGTGTGTCTGAAAGTACGCATTAACCGGTGATGAAGCTCAATCAAACCGTGTTTAGCATCAGTTTCGCTGTTCTTTACATTGCACCATTGCTCAATGTTTTATTACACAATTATTTCATCATAAGGGTAAATAATTCATTCACCTGCAAAACAGAATACTACCAAACGGTTTCTTCTAATAAACATCCCAATGGCTAGGCAATGTGAAAATTATAACATTGTATTCTCAGCTTTCATACTTAAGTACATTGCTCAGCATTTTACTGATGAGCCTTCCAGCTGTTGGAGTTTTCCCAGCTGTAATAACTTGTGTATTAGATTATATCATGATTTATGAAATCATTCAAAATAACGATGATGTCGCCTGCTAAAAGATGGGGACCCATTGCTCCGTTATGTTCCCGCCATGAAATGTTACATACTGGTATCATTGGTATAATGTTCGAGAAACCATGAAGACAACAAGATGTGCTTTTTGTAGATAAACTTAGCTATGTCAAATATGAAAACATTTTAATACTCGTAAGTGCAAAGATGGTTTTCATTGCAACAAACCAAAACTCATAATCGTAATTTAACTTAGTTTCTCAGTACACGTATCGTTTTTTTCATGTCATGCTTTGTTTTTGTATTTGACTATTTATTGAAACAGATGTTGAATAGTGACGTATTGAATGACGTGACTATATTGTGGTATCCGTTACATAACGATAGTGTGGTAAATATACTTGTATATCTTTTGTGAATCCTACAAGTTTGCTCGATATTCTTAGCACTGCCGTCAAAATATTTGGCCGTTATGAAGGTTGGGCGACAGTTTCATTATACATGTATATAACTGGATAACCTTTTGAAAGGCAACTTTAGCATTTCGTTTGCTTCTACATGTAAGCAGTTTCTAAACATAAAACCGTTGTGGACTGTTTAGTTTTTATATTATTCTGTGTAGATAAACTAAGCTATGTCAATTACGAAACAATTTTAATACTCGTAAGTGCAAAGATACAAAACTCATTGCAACAAACCAAAACCGCAAAACCTTTTAACAATGCATATTTGTCAAAGATAGACCGAAAAAGAGACAAAAGGAATCCCTAAAGAACGCCTAAAATTAAAATTGAAAATGTTGATGACACTGATTGAGCCCCTTCATGGACGGTATTGGAAAGTGAAATCTACAAACCCCGTCCCCTTGCATTGGTTTATGAAGAATTCAACATCTAACTTAAAATTATGAAATTTCTTAATTTAGAATAATTAATGTCACAAATTAATACCATAAATATTATTTAACGAAGAAATGCATCATAGCTGGAGGCGTTTGAAAATTACCCAATTATAACACGCAGATTTTAAATTCGTAAACAAACACTGCGATATGATTTGACGATGTTTTAACAAATATAAAATGTTCTTAGATACATATAAAACTGAAGAGTCATTTCATGCCATATAATAAAATTCATCTATTTTACATGTGTGATTATATTTGCACTTAAAATTTCATAGATGACATCTTATATGATCAAATGTCATACGTTATAAACATTTCATCTAGTAATCATGAATTAAGACACCCTATAACGAAATCCGAATTGTAATTTAAACACTGTTAAATGAATTTCAATTTAATTTAATGGCTTTAATACAGCCTAAGTTTACAC